AGCCGCTTTAATGACAGGTGGGTTTAAATTATGACGTGTATTGTAATTCATAGCTTGTCATACAGATATTGTCCTTGCACTTCCCCTGTTTTTATGTTTAGATTAGCTCTGCCAACATCTAATGCTCACTTAAAGTAAATCTTTAAAAAACATTAATAAATAACACTGTTAGATGTAATCTTAAGCAAATCTACATTTTTTTATCCATTTTTCATACTGCAAATTATAATGTTGTGGTGCCTAAATTCACTTGTAGCATTTAAAACAACTGATTTTAATTTGTATCTTTTAATTGATCTATTTATTTGTAATATTTTGTATTTTATTTAGATCAAACAGTATAGAATCTTAATATCAGTCATTTATCGGTTATCAGCCACATTGCAAAAAGTGAATTTCTTATTCAGTAGTTTTGCCTTGTTTTCCAGTATAAATATCTAAACATTTCTTTAAATAATTTTCTTACCCCATTGGCAGACTTTTTTTTTTTTTTCTAAAAGTAAATGTATCTTCATGTAACAATGTGTAGATATTTGTACTGGAAAACAAGACAAAAATACTGACTAAGAAATTCACTTTATGAAAATAATTTCATGTTCACTTCAAAAACTATTTTAATCGGCGGCCCAGAATATGAGAAAAAGAAACAAATGCTACATTTAAATATGCTGTACGGTTTATGAGAAGAAATGAGGCAACCATGAGAGTAAGCTCAATGGCCAAGAAATTTCAGCAAAATAATGTGTATGAATTTTGGAAAGAAGTTAAGGTTATTAATAATAGTAAAGTGCCATTGCCAGCTAGTATTGAAGGGGTTGCTGGTGCTAAGAAGATTGTTAAATAATGGAGAAAATATTACGGGGATATATTTAATTGTGTTGAGGCAGGAATTTGATATTCCGAATGATAATGGTGTGATTATTAGACTTGCTGAGGTTAGTTACGCTATTGAGAAATTGGCAGCAAATAAAGCATGCGGCCCTGATTTGATAGCAGCAGAACATTTGAAGTATGCTAGCCAAACATTTTTAGTGTGACTTTCTTTGTTTTGTTTTTCACAGGATTTTTAATACATGCTGTGTTACCTGAATCTATGTTAACAATTTTATTAGTACCAGTTCTTAAAGATAAAACTGGTAAAATATCTAGCGTAGAAAATTATAAACCAATTGCCTTAGCAAGTATAATTTCAAATGTATTTAAACGTATGCTCAAAGAATATTTGGTAACTACGTATAATCAGTTTGGTTTTAAAAGGAAACTGTTAGCAAGTATAATGGGCACAATTCTACAGTATTTATGTGCTTTTTAGATGCCTCTAGGCATTTGATCGAATTAATCACATTAAGCTGTTTATAAAGTTACAAGACAGAAGGGTTTCCCCATATTTGATTAGGATTTTACATTACTGGTAGATACCTCAATCCATACAAGTCAGATGGGGTAGGAATGTATCGACACCCTTTTATATGACAAATGAGGTTTGGCATGGTGGAATATTGTCACCCCTTCTTTTTAATTTGTACATGGATGATCTTTCTATTGAGTTAAATGAATGTAAAACTGGATGTGTAATAGGTGATAGTCTTTTTAACCATCTGATGTATGCTGATGACTCAGTTATTCTGTCCCCTTATAATGCTGGGTTACAACAGTTGCTTCAAGTATGTTCAAACTATGGTGTGCAATATGATATCAAATTGAATACTAAAAAGAGTGTGATTAGGATTGTTAAAACTACAGAGGACCGTAAGCAAAATGTCCCCATTTCTTTAGGTGACCAAGTATTAAATGTGGTAAATAAAATAAAAAACCTGCACTCTAAAAAATGCTGGGTTAAAAAGGGACAAACCCAGCTATTGGGTTGTTTTGACTCATGCGGTTGGGTTGTTTTGGAGTCAACCCAACCGCTGGGTCAAAACAACCCAATAGCTGGGTTTGTCCCTTTTGAACCCAGCGCTGGGTTATATTTAACCCAGCATTTTTTAGAATGTGGGTCACATTATTAGAGATGATTTAAATTATGATGATGATGTGCACCGCCAGTGCTGTAAGTTATATGGACAGGCAAATATGTTGGCTCGTAAATTTTACATGTGGACAGATGATGTTAAAATTGCACTTTTTAGAGCTTACTGTACTTCTTTTTATATGGCACATTTATGGTGTAGTTATAGTAAAGCTAAAAAAAAAAAAAGCTTCAGGTGGCATTTAATGAGGCATTAAGAATTCTGCTTAAACTCCCAAGATTGATAAGTGCAAGCCAAATGTTCGTATCTAAAGTTGTTCCTACTTTGCATGCTGTGTTAAGGAATTATATGTATAGTTTTATGTGTTGATTAAGTGACTCAAGAAATACAATCATAATGGCCTTAAATGATCCCGCATTAAGTGACATAAGGTATTCCTCCTTGTTCTGGAAGCACTGAAATTCAAGGTTGTATGTTTTTTTAATAGTGTTTTTGTAAATGTACACTCTAAAAAATGCTGGGTTAAATACAACCCCGTGCTGGGTAAAATAGGGACAAACCCAGC